CATGTTTTCATTTCATTATATTATAATGACAAAACATTTTTGAAAAATCTGATTGATTTTTCTAAATGAATTTCCATTTTCTACTAGAAAATAGTTTTGCCCATATTCAGACATTTAAATATTCAATAATCACACTTACGTTTATTGTTTTATTTTATTTAACCTTTTTACATGTTTGTGGGTATCATTACCAAGGTTTAACATGATAATTTTGAATAAATTGAGCATTGTGTAGATTTTTATAAATAGGTAATATATTAGTAATATCTCAATGAGTAGAAAAAATAGGTTTTCTGATGTTTCGTGACTCAGTGTAAGCCACTTCTTCAGAAAATAAATAACCAAATTAAAATCAGTCCAAGTTTTTAATTTGGTTAAGTGGCTTACACTGAGTCACGAAACGTTAGAAAATCTACTTTTTTTTACTCGTTGGGATATTACAAATATATTATTCATTTGTTCAAATGCTTTACTTTGTAATCATATGTATTTCAACTTTTAATCCTATTTTTTTCAAAATATTATATCTAGTTGTCAGCTTGATAGCAATTCGAAAAATACGTGTTTCCAGTCATTTTGGTGTAGTAAATAAAAGATTCAGAGAACATTAAATTTATTATGTTCTTAAAAGATCACTGACGATCTTTGTATGAAGATGTATTTTTTTATGTTTGTGTATCTATACGATTAGCATAACAGTGATCATAGCTTGCCGAATTCATCGGTAAAAATTGCATCAAGTTATTTTTTAGATAGAAAATTCAATGGAGACTAGTATGTATATATTTTTTTTTACCTTAATTTGTGCTATGGATATATATCGACTGAGGAATCATTGAAAAGTAAGGAGAAATAAACAGCAGTGGTCACTAATGATTTCACCAGAGATCATAGGCAAGATCAACATACCTAATTAAATAAACATTACGTTCTAACTGTTCAACTGAAGTCCGTTACTTCATATTTTCATGATTTTGCTTTATAAAAACACACTGTCTAATGGGATAGTTGAAATACGGTTTTATATCCAACTTATGTGACAGGATATTTCAATTGAACTTCAGTAGGTAAGGGATTAATGTTTGATTGAGGGACTTGTAGTTATTCTTAGTTTTTCAACATTTTTCTCAAGGACTATGAGGACATTTATTTACTTCCATTAAATACGATGATGTAAGTGAGGGTTCATGTTCATCATATAAAGAAATTGATCTGAAACTATACGAAAAAAGCTCTCATTTGATTAATTTCAATGTTTTAGTAAAATAATATTTGACTTTTCTAAAAAATCTACTCAAATTTTCACATAAATGGATTTGATTGAACTTGAACTTGTAATACGTGTTCGTGAATATGTATACGATACATCTAATTAACCCTAAGTGTTACTAAAATAGTTATAAAAATGAATATGAATAACTTAGTTTCTAACTATTCTTTTACAGTTGGATGAATTATTGAAACAAGTCACGTATGTAAAAGTATCTTGTCACGTACTGACTTCAGCCGTTAAAGTATAGGGGAAATTTGTTTGAAAACTAATAGACTTTCAAGTTTTCTATTTCATAACATTATCCATTTATAACAAGCCAACTCATATTCATGTTAAAATCTGATAAGACACAATGAACAATTATAGTCTAAGGACACTTTCAAACTTCTTTAGTTATTTGTTTATGGGATAGTTCCAAAAAGAGATATAACGTTTATCTGGGCTCAATTTTCACCACTGGTATTGTTTTTAAATAAACACAATCATTTCACTACTGGTATTTTGTTTATAATCTGCTTTACTGTCACATATGAATAACTTTGTCCAATATCATTTTTTGAGACACATGAAATACTCCAGACTTCTAATATTTGTTGAATGAAGCAGAGTAAACCCAACGTAACAGATAGTTATGCATGATTTACAGAAATAAATTAGCACTTTGAAAAAATCTCTATTCTTTGAACTAATCGCAATGAAAAGTGTAAAACGTCACATTATTTTGTCGTGGTATATTATTCACAGACGTCATAGATATTTGAAGTATCTTTGATTAACTTGGATTATTTGGAAGGACATTTGTATGTCTAATTACATGAAATGATAAGGTCTAAATTTGAACAGTGGAACTATATTAGGATCATTAGTAATCGATGAGTAGAATAATTATACAACAGATGGGATAATTTCAGTTGTAAGCGATGTCAACAGTCATTAAGTTAGATTAAGGCAATAGACAATAAACTTAAAAGAAATTGCACTACTGGTTTGGAGTGTAATTTATTTGTTGAAAATTATGGTAATCAAACTACATCAACGTATTCAGTCTGATCGAGAAAACACATTACTAAATGATAATTTAGTAAACGTCTATTGTATAAAAGATGAAAGCTGATAATCATTCAAATATTATTGCAAGCTCTTTATTCAAAATCAGTTATTGTTTACTGTCAGTTTGGTGATATCTTTCTTTATAAACAAATAAGTATTCTCAGATATACTACTTTCATTCTACAACAATATGATTTCACTACTTTTGATATTCTATGAGTAGATGTCTTATGTAATTCGTTAACATAGGAGGATAGTATTAGGAAGATTTTATTAATTATCTTCATACATCAAATTCTACAGAAAGTATTCCAATCCTATCAGTATAGGAGACCATAAAATATGGTACGGGATCTGATGCACATACTAAAACGTTACCTTTAAAATTTAACAACATTGAGAAATTCTAATTTTACAAATAATTAGTAGACTAATTAATTACTGAGTCAGAAAAAGATATAGCCCTTAGAACTCTCATGTACTGACTAATGGTTAAGGTCGTTCGATCAGATCGTCCTTTGCAAATATAATAATTAACTAAAAATGAATGCGTAGCTATTTTGTGACCGTATATTTTCACAAGATTCATCCATACTCTGTGAGTTAATCTTTAGTAATATTAGGCTTGCTTATATTAGAGGAAGACCTTCAGCAAAAATAGTCAACATTATTTACATTTTAATAATGTTTTTGTGTAAATAACTCTTTCATTTAAAAAAATAAGTGAAACAGATGAATACAGATGTGGTTTTTTTGAAGAAACTAATAGTAAGAAGCTAATTATTTTGTTTTAGTATAATGAGATGTTGATTTGATCCCAGAGGAAATAATTTACTTATTGGAACGTTATACAATTAAGCATAAATTCTGATGTTTTCAGACAATTTTTTTCCAAGGAATTAAAATAATTATGTATATGCTAGATAATCTTTATACATCTTTATTTGAATGTACGTAAAACCGTTGGTTTTCTCACAATTAAGACGATTTGACCACTATTATTTTATACATTTGTGTGGATTTTGAGGCTATATGATTTCATCATACAAAGCGTATCAGTTAAAGAAATATTACAAAAGTGAGAGACGATAGACAAAGTTTCAGCTCATAATGATGAACAAAGAATCGAATCTAAAACCTTCGTGTTTCATGGTTAGCATATTAACCAATATCTTCAGTATATTGGAGTTTATTTTTAAATTTGCACACTCAGTAATCATGCATAAATCTTTTGGCTAGATTTTTGTACGATTTTAAAGTTAGTTAACCTACTGATCGACGATGATTCATTTGATCATAGAAAAATCCATCTCCAATCCAATTATTTGGATATGAACTGTCAACTGACAATTTAAAAGTTAATTAGATCGAATGGATGTATGCTTTTTGACTTCAGGGATTTAATAGCTTCTGTGCTCATAAATAAATAAAAAGGTTTTTAATTAGGATTACATTTTCTGTTATACCAAAACTAGAATTAGTGATGAAAATTCCAAAGCTATTTCAAAGTCATTATACTACCACATTGTAGATGTTAACGAACATGGTAGTCATATTACTTGTTTTAATAATGAAAACTAAAAGGCCAAACTGTCAGGTAACATATATCATATTGGGAAAATGGATGGGACATAAAGGTTAAATAAATCATCGTAGATACCTCACGTGTTTTACATGATAAATATATGATAGAAATAAATTTATCACCTAAATAAAGTCAATGTTATGTAAAAAAGATATGAGTTTATTTGAATTTAAAGCTACAGATCGAAATTTTCAGACAATGTACGTTGAAATTATACGAATTAGTAGCTTCTTCCGTTTCAAATACACTAGTCCCGCACTAAAACATTAGCAGAGAGTCGTATAAATAAATCCAGGTTATTTGAGCGTAATGAGGTCAGTTAGATGGACATAGTGTAAGCCAATCGTCTATTAGCAGCTAGTTTTATTTCAACTGAAAAACAGCTCTTGCTTCCTCAAAATTCAAGCGACGTCTAAATGATTGTATCATATTAAAGTGCATGTATTTTCACATACATATAGAAGATTTATTAAACAGTGATCGAGTAAAAGACGTTGTCGATGATTTATCTTTGTATTTCATAATGAATATAGTTGAAATGCATCGGAGAATTCATCCATAGCTGTTTTTCTACTATCATATGAAAGTAGAATTAAAAAAGGCTCATTCTCGTAAAAGACCGAGATTCCCTTTATGTTTGAAGCTGTAGGCGATTGTATTAATCCTGGCCTTCCTTGAACCGATTTTGGTTTGTCGTTGAAAATGATATGATTTAAGGTCTTTCTTGATTATTCTCGTATTTCTCATAATTACAGCTTGAAATTTTAATTTCACATACATATTTTGAACAATTGATGTATGGTCAAATATTTCGAAACAATAAGCTGTTAAATAAAAAGTATCTAAAAGATTTGTTATCCCATCGAAGTTTCGAGTATTATTTTGATCTTCAGAACTGTGATGGGATATTTTAACCAAATCGCTGACTACCTCGAATATTTATATTACCATCCTATATGGATTCCTGTCAATCAAAGTTATGTCTGTCAAATGCCTCAAATAATATGTTTCGATTCTGAATATTAGTTCGTGAAAACGTTAGTATATTAGCCACTCATAAAGATTAAATCAGTAAAAATAAAAAAAACTCACTTCACTGTCCTCTGCACCTAAAGTATGACATGGAAGATAAGCATTTTCACCAGTTTCATAAGTTAGTATCATTTTAATTAATTTCTGTTTATGATTGAAAGGCTGAGACAAACTTATTTCAGAATTATGATATAATTTATGTATATCTACATTGGGGAATTTTCTAATCATTTCATATAATGGATATGGATTTAATATACATGGGATTTCTTGTCTACCATCTGTATTCCAATAGCAATCTCTGTGTACTTCATATCCATTTATTGCTTTCATTGTGGATGTTTTATTTGGTAAATAGTGCATAGATAAATTCTTTGAATGATGATAAACTTTCGAAAGATCCTTGTTGTACGATTCAAATGTAGGATACTTAGCATGCAATAGATTTGTGATAGTTGTAGCTGAATCATCGTTTAGTAAAACATGTCGTGTTATCATTTTTGATGTTGACGGTAAATGTCCAAATTTTATAAAACTTTGTTGTTCTCCATTTTGATATTGTTTGTTAACTTGATAGCTACTTGGTTGTTGTCGGTTACGATGTTGAGTGTAATCTCGTAATTTTTGAGTGAAATTTTGCTGATGACGACTTCCATGTAACAATGGGAGATGAAATATCCAACAAGGTATAAAGTCTATGGTTTTGTATAACATTATTTCTTTTTGTAAATCTTGTATAATAAAAGTTTGAGAAAAAAAATAAAAAACCGTCATTTATAAACTGAATTTGAAGAATATTATTTGACTGATATATATGAGATTATATAATGTTTTACTTAAATAATACACCGGTGACAATATTAAAATTTGACAAAACCAAAAACAAGATTTTAATATAACTCGGTCATAACTCATCGTTTATCAGAAAATGCAAATATTTTTTTGCAAATTGTAATTTTACTCTAGTAGTAGTGTGGATTGCAATACAATACCAATGGCATTTGTTCTCTTTCATTCTATGCATCTTGTAATACAAAAGTCTTGGATTTTATTGAACATCAGTCGTTCACTGATATTAATTTAACGTATATATATATATATTATATAGTTGAGATCATGGGTCAATTGAAACTAGACCACCATAGAAAACATGGAAGCACTGGACGGCCGTTTCGTCTTATTATAGGACTCCTCAGCAGTGCGCATATATGATCCCGCCTCGCGAGATTCGAATCCAGGACCTACCAGATATATGATGAGTTAACATAAGTGTTTTATTCCTCAATATTTCTTTTATTCGGGTTTTCATGCCTTTTACTGAATATTTGTCTAACTTTTAACTGTAAGTTCTATTTCGTAGTAATGTTTAAATTTCAGATAGTATATTCGTTAAAGAAGTTATAATTACAAGCCATTTACTTGGTTTTTTAGCCAGAGTATTTGGTGGGAATAACTTTATTAGGTTCATCATATTTTACATAACTACGTAACACATTTACGTCAGATCGAGATTAATTCAGCGGTGATTTAGGCGTTTTAGAAGATAGTTTTGCGAATAAGATATATTTCACGTGAGCATAAACTTGATTGATGTTTCATTTCATATTGGTATTGTTTAATAGAATACAATATTCTAGGTAAAACGAAATGTGACATATGAGGATGGTCTCATACTTATTTAAATCTGATACTACACACTTTAAGTTTGTGATATAAATTATGTCAAAATCCAAAAATTCGTGACTTTTTACTGTAATTTCAGAATATCTATGCAGAAGATGGTCATTAGAATATGTGCTATAAATAGTTTTTCTGTTCTCTATGAACACTTGCAGTTCTACAAACGATGCAATCGCCTGTCATTTATGTATAATAATGTGTATTGTGAACCTCAATGTTGACTCATATCAACAGAATTCGATACATACTGGTTAATAGAAGTTAATAATAATCTTTACACTCAATGACAATGGGATTTATTATTGTACACTAATCAAGTGTCACTGCTTTTTCACCTTGGCAATAATCATCTGATCTGATCTAACATTAAATTTTGATTTTGGATAGGAATGTTGAAATTATTTGTAAAATTTATCCATTAATTAACATGAATATATTAAATAATTAAATCAAGAGTAATAAGTTACACCCAGTGGTTTAGTAACAATCTATCACTAAGCGTACTGTTTATTTAGAGGTTGTTTCCATTTTAAAGAATTAGTTGCATGTATTATGTCGACAGATAAAACTATCGTGTTAAAGTTTCACGCGTACAACCTTTTCCTGACGTATGAAGAAGGATGAGATACTTTCAGTTATAATTAAATGTCAGTAAAATATATGATTTTGATTGCGAAATATCCTTTAACATACCTATATTCTTCAAAATTATTTACATAAGTTTATTTTAATGTTGAAGAAGAAAAATATTTCAGTCCACATACTTCTCACTTTTGTTACTAAACTTACCTAACTTTGTCTCACTTTTATTACTGTAGCGTAGTTAGTCTTAAGTGCACGATGGTAAAATTTCGGTAAAACGGGTGAAAATGTCACATTTAGATCTCTAAAAGCAGTCCACATTCTCAACTTCATTTATGTGTTCAAAAGTGATCAACTTTGAGAAGAATTCCGAAGGTAGCCTTTCAAAACCATGGTGAGTGGGGTGTAATCATGTTGGATGTAAAATAAAAACTTCTGTAACCAATAATTTAATGTCGTTTAACATAGGTAATCAAATAGAAATTGTTTTGTTAATCATTATATGTAATCTCAAATGCAGTCCGCTCAGAATTAGACTTTAAACTCTAAGTTTGATGAGTGTAGATTTTGGATCCCGGATTTCAATGGCTATCTAGGGATGTAAACTAAAATCATATATATATATATATATATATATATATATATATATATATATAATTTCAGTACTCCTTTACAAAGAAAACATTTTGATTTGCAATAAATGATAACATACCATCAAGTTTTCGGGGTTAGTCAAATTGAGAAAAATATTCAGGTAAAAACAGTACCTTTTTGAGTAACAAAATTCTGGTCGCAAATCATTCAATAATATCATCAGTAAACCTTTTCGCTTTTATTCCATATTTATAAAACGATGATCATGAAGTCATATTTTAGGCGTACACGTGATATGACTAAACATTTAAAGAAATATCCTAATATTATATAACAGATATCTTGGTGAAAATAAAACCAGGGAAAGCTGTATGTCGTCTCTCATAATCTACTTTACTTGTTACTGATGATACATTATAGATCAGAATAAATGGAAGATTGTTGCATTCAGATAATTTGTTATGATCAAATTCAACTAATTTTAATTTTGGCAAGATCATGTTTATACTGGGAAACAAATATAAAAGTACATTATATTATATACCTTGATCGTATCATAATTTTATCAACATGTATAATCTATACAGTTTAATGATTAAAATTATTCTGCTACAAGAATTGAGATTTGCAACTGGTGGTCACTAATTAACATAAGTTTCTCGGTGAAAATTATATGACGTTCAGGGTTATTAACATCAAGTTATTTATCTACATAGCCTCACTAATGATAAGCTCACGCTTTGTAAAATAAAAATTACATATATATGTTATGATGGGATAAAATTACGGAAAAACAATTAATACAATCACTTCATGTACACGTTCAGTTATTTTCCAGTAAAGTATCATGGTGATTAACCATATGACAGAATTCTTTCAGTCTGTACAATAGAAGAATTTGAAATATCAAATATACAAATAAACGTTACACCTTTGTTAGTTTTTATAGAATTCTATTCAGATATATCATGAACCATATTCTGTACGTTATTCAAATATATTTTCTTATCACAACAATTATACTAAAGTTATTTTAACTTTACTGGTTCAACTAAAATATCGTCTATTCTCAATAATTAGCTGAACTATTTTCAATTAGATAATTTTACTATTCTATGTAATCACTTAATATTTGACATTTAAAGAGATAGGTGAGCGAAAAGGCACTTTCTGTTGACAGTAGCCGTCTCGTAGATCAATTTGTTCATCATTACTAGGGATTAAAGTTCTTATTTTTAATATCAGATTATTAAATTAATTTTGTTTAATTTTCCATTATTTATTAGTTACGTTTATAAGTGACTATTTAATTGGATATCATTTTTTAAAATGTTTTTTTTTCGAAGACAAATTTAATTATTAGAACAGATATTTGTTAGTTCGTGTTATTTCTAGTCAAGTTATACAACAAGAGTATAATAGTGTTCAGTTATCAATCTACAGATTTCGAACATGTATATTGGTGAGCCAAGAACAGAAATAGATGATTGATAAAATATATTTCTTAAAATCTGTCTATAACTATATTATTAATCGACTTTTGATTCAGATAAATGTACACGATCTCAATATGAATAATCCTGGTGTAATAAAACTTTCCAGGTATTGGAACTGTGAGAGTCAGCTGATTTTAAAGTTATCTAAGTAAATTATTTCTATTGATCGATAAGTAACGGTAGTTTAGTATAATCATGCTATCATTCATTGGTTTTCTACTGAATCAATTATGACTGTTTATACGAATGAGATCTTCGTATACAGCGCTCCATCGTTAAATCTAAAAGTGTATGCATTAAATATAACTGCCCTTAAGTCTTTCGATGTAGTTAACAAAAACTCCGAAAAAAAGTTTTGAAGCTGGGTGGCATTTGTTAGTAATTCATAAACATAATATTTACAGTACTATTGGCTACTAAGATGAGTATCGATAAGCAAAAACACTTGGTACAAAGCTTTTTGTTGACAACATCTAACGAATTAGAACCTCAACATAGTGTGTGCTATGTCAAATTTTTCGCTATGTTACAGCTTAACTAATAGAGTTTGATCAAATATAAAAAAATAGTCAAACAAAACCACTGGTCACTACTGTGTAGTGAATCAATCTTAAAGGAACTATTGTATAGGTTATTATAATTTCTGTATTATAACTATTAGTTTTACTCGAGAACTGATGTTACACAGCAGGACATACAAATACTTAATATGATAAAGAAAACATGCTTCATTTTTCAAAGGAAATTTGAAACGAGTAGTAAATTACATTGATTATTCATTGATATAGATACACAGTCGGTCATTTATGAATAACTTGGGACCCAATATTAAAACACATTAGTCAAAATCAAAACACATAACATCAACACTGTGAGAAAGATAATTGACTTGATACGAATTGAATAATTACTCTATCATGTTTAATTAGATTTTTCAAATGATCATTTCCCACGAGGTGATCATAAAGAATGACTTTTAGGTTATATTTCCTTCGGAAAGATAACTTATTGATCAATATACTTCTAAATTTTGGAATCTTTATTCTGTTCTTAAGATATAATTTTGAGCAAGTCAATAGGAATTATTTGCTTTCTATCCATCTATTAATGGTAAGCAGTTAATATTGATACAAAACGGCATCGAATACATATGCACCACAAAAATCACTTGATTTGTGTGTGGGCTGTGATACTGCCTGGGTGCCCAGACCAAAGCAGATGGTCTCCTTGAGGGGCCATAGCCAGAACCTTCGACCTGAAGGTCTATTCTACAAGGCAGTGAAGCAACATCACAAGATGCCGATCTCTGGTAGCCGGTGACAAATAAATGGTTTATACGCCATTTTTTCCTTCCGGATTCTAAAGCCTATGTGCACCAA